GAATTTAAGTAATTTGTCTGAGGTTGCTAATGGAGGAGACAACCAGGGCTCACCACTGTTCAATCCTCCTGTATATCTTTAAGTGTCCAGTAACCCAGGGAACTTGTCAGCTGCATCTGTGTGTGAGCTGGCAGGAAGCTCAGTTGCCTTGGACGGCAGCTTTTCGAAACAGAGGCCCACGTGAAGTCACTGAGAACTTCAGCAGGATTCAGGAAGCCCCTGAACTCAGAAAAATGTGATTTCTGCTTTTCAGTTAATATAGCAGGAATAGAATTGAGGAAAATATGGAAAAAGAAGTGAGACAAACTTTGAAAGGTTTCACTTCACAGCACCCACTCCAGTAAGTTGAGGGAATAAAAATTTGGATAACTGGTTATTTTTTTTTTTTCAACGTTTATTTATTTTTGGGACAGAGAGAGACAGAGCATGAACAGGGGAGGGGCAGAGAGAGGGAGACATAGAATCGGAAACAGGCTCCAGGCTCTGAGCCATCAGCCCAGAGCCTGACGCGGGGCTCGAACTCACGGACCGCGAGATCGTGACCTGGCTGAAGCCGGACGCTTAACCGACTGCGCCACCCAGGCGCCCCATGGATAACTGGTTATTTTTAAGTACTTAGTGTGATTTTTAAAAAATGTTTTGTAATGTTTGTTTTTGAGAGAGAGAGAAAGGCAGAGTGTGAATAGGGGAGGGGCAGAGAGAGAGAGAGAGAGAGAGACACAGAATCCGAAGCAGGCTCCAGGCTCAGGGCTGTCAGCACAGAGCCCGACCTGGGGCTCAAACTCACAAACCATGAGATCATGACCTGAGCCGAAGTTGGACACTTAACCGACTAAGCCACCAAGGCACCCAAATACTTAGTGTCATTTTAAAAACAGTGTTATTTTTCTGAAATTGGTAACTTATAGTGTTCAGTTTTTTCTTATTAGAGAAGAGTTCCTCAAAAATAAGAAACTTTGTTTAGTGATATAATTGAACAAATTAGTGAAGGCTAATAACTTAATTGACCTAGCAGTGGTAGAGTGTGTGAACATTTAGTTTTGATTATGATTTCAAGAACATCTGTTGTGCACTTGGTAATAAATGTATTATTTCTTTCATTTTCTTTGATCTTTCTCTTTCATTTCACCTGATTTTCATCCATGTGAAGAATCCAAGTTACGGAATACCCTCATGTAGAAAGTTGGTTAGGAAAACACCCTATATCAGAAATAATAATACATTATCACAAGGGTCTTCTTTTTCCTTCATACAAATTCTGATCTCGTAACCACGTTAGTGTTCTTTGGCATTAATAATGTAATGTGACCAGAAATCAGTCCTAGACTTGGTGAGGTGGGAGAAGAAACTTAGTGAGGTGAGAGAAAATTAAAGATGTTGGTGAAAAGGCAGGTTTGAGTTTTTTTATAGCTTTAAGTTAGCTGTGCACGATCCACTTTCTTGACCATGGATAATTGAGAGCTGATTATTCTGCCCAGGTCATTGTGAAAGTGACAAGTCAGACTGTAGACATCCCCAAAGCATAGGCATAGGAATAAAAATGCTATATTTTTGTATCCATGTTCAAGAAAGATTGACTTTCGAAGTGTGTCACTATTTGGGGGAAGAGGATGCTATCACCTTTGTAAAGTTGTGAATTATGAAAGACATTTCTGTTAGGTTACTGAATGTCCCTTGGGGTTTGTTTCATTTATAACATTGCCTCAGGCCTTCTGCTACATCCTGTTGGAATGACCTTCTTTTCAACCCTGTGCTGGCAGCTGTAATATGGCTCTTTCTCCTGAATCCTTTAGGGTTATCACATGACAAGCATGAACTGTGACCCCTTTGTTCTTTATCCAGATGATTCGGTTTTAAAAATTTTTTTCTGTTTAACATTTTTGCCTTATTTCTTTCCTCTTTTTCCCTCTTTGCTCTCTTTTTTATTTCCTACCTGGACAAGGGTTTGTGGGGTGTTTTTTTTAGCATTTTAATTTTTTAATTAAAGTATAACATTGATGCAGAAAAGCACACAAATCAAAGCTCACTGAATTTTCACAGCACAAACACACCCATGTAGACAATACTCCAGTCAAGACAGAAAACGTCACCGGAACCCCAGATAACCCTGCCCTATCTCTTTCTGGCCACTACTCCTCTCCCCTAAGGGGAATCATTGTACTGACTTCTGTAGCTTTGAACTTTATAGAAATGGAATCAGACTATATTTTGTTGTGTTTGGATCCTTTCATTTTTGTGATATTCATCTATGTTACTCAGTTTGTTACTGCTGTGTAGTTTTCCATTTGTGTAAGTATTCCACAATTTATTCTTAATGGGCATTTGGATGGTTTCTTCTTTAGGTCTATTACAAATAATAGTACTAAACATTCTCATACGTGTCTTTCAGTGGACATGTGACATATTTCTGGGTATTTACATTTGCCAAGACATTGTGTATCCATCTAGCCATTTACATTTCAAAATCCATATAAAACATTAGATGATTGATTTTATGCAAACTCTTAATAGGAAACGTTTGTAAACAACTATCGATTCAGCTTTAGCATATTATATCTAATTTTTGGCTAAGAAAATGCCTCTATTTAAATGTACTATAAACAGATAACTCCTATATACAGCAAAATTGCCACTCACTGCCCATGACATGTTTTATTAACTCTCTTCCTAATGTGTGTTTTTTATCCAGTTTTCCAAAGCTCAATTGGCAGGTCCATTCTGCAAAACCCTTAGGAAAATATTGTGATGGTGATAATTCACAGTAGTTAGGATTATATCTATATTATACCACCTCTAAGTGGTAACGGGAAGAGGAATGTGCTAGTGCTTGACTGCCATGCTTTAGTGAAAGTCACAGAGGCAGACACTTGTATGCGCATTCATTACTGAGAACCTTGCAGAAGTGGTGAAAGACTGGCTGTCCCATAGCTTGGCTCCAGGACAAATAGCCAGGCAATTGTGCAGCCAAGAGTAAAGTTTTCATCCCTTTTAAACATGTCGACTTTCCAAAATTTGTTCCATGGATCCTTTTGAACATGTTTAACCTTACGAGTATAGAAATGTGATTGTGCTATCATATTCCCTCAAAACTGCAAAGCATCTCCTAAGGAGATTTTGTTTGACCATCAGGTAAAGTGCCCCTCAGTCATTCTGTGAACATGCATAGAATTAAGTTGACTTGTTTTGACCAAAGTGTATTCCTTAAAGAGGATCTCTTTCTCCTCCATCAAAACAAAACAAAAATATAGAGGGAATAATCAAAATTCGATGGTTATAAAAGGATAGTTACAGAACCAGAAGATTTGCCTCCTATGTTACGGAAATATAAATGTAAGTCTTTTGGAGGGTGAAAGGAGGGTCGACAACCCTATCAAGATGTTTTTGGGAACAAAGTATGGTTAAAAAAAAAAGAATGAGAGAATAAAGGATTTCACCTTGACAAAATTATCCTTTAAGAATTCTGTTATTTTTCGTTTCTTCTTCCAGCCTTTGTTTTTGCAAAGGCACAGTGGAAAGTGAGCCTGCAGGGAAGCCATGTGATGAGTTTGTACCTGATTTGGTAGATAATATAACACAGTAATAACTAAGAGCACTCACTTTATTTTTTTATTTATTTTTAAGTTTTTTTTTTTTTTTTTTTTTAATTTACATCCAAATTAGTTCGCATATAGTGCAATAGTGATTTCAGGAGTAGATTCCTTAGTGCCCCTTACCCATTTATCCTATCCCCTCCTCCCGTAACCCCTCCCATAACCCTCCGTTCTCCATATTTATGAGTCTCTTCTGTTTTGTCCCCCTCCCTGTTTTATATTATTTTTGTTTCCCTTCCCTTATGTTCATCTGTTTTGTCTCTTAAATCCTCATATGAGTCAAGTCCTATGATTTTTGTCTTTCTTTGACTAATTTCACTTAGCATAATACCCTCCAGTTCCATCCACGTAGTTGCAAATGGCAAGATTGCATTCTTTTTGATTGCCGAATAATACTCCATTGTGTATGTATATATATATACCACATTTTCTTTATCCATTCATCCATCGATAGACATTTGGGCTCTTTCCATACTTTGGCTATTGTTGATAATGCTGCTAGAAACATGGGGGTGCATGTGTCCCTTCAAAACAGCACACCTGTATTCCGTGGATAAATGCCTAGTAGTACAATTGCTAGGTCCTACGGTAGTTCTGTTTTTAGTTTTTTGAGGAACCTCCATACTGTTTTCCAGAGTGCTGCACCAGCTTGCATTCCCATAAGAGCACTCACTTTAGATCAACTTAGAAATTGAGTCCCGGTTCAGTTTTGCTGTGTGACTCTGAACAGGTCGCTTAACCTATCTAAGCTCAGTATTCTCATTTGATAAATGGAGGCAGCACCCATGTGACTTGTTGCAATGTTACATGAAAGAAAAGAGATCATGTGTGGGAAGTGATTAACATAGCTGTCATAACTAGTGCTCAGGTAGCTAGTCTGGACAGGGTGGGGGGAGCCATTGAAGATTTTTGAACCACAGAATGGTAGGACCTGAATCATGTAAGGCTTTTTCTTTTATTTTTATAATCGACATACAAAAAGCAGCACACATTTCAAGTATTCAGTCTGATAGATTTTTATATATACATATACCTATGAAATCATCGCTGCAATTGAAATAGTGACCACATCCATCAATCCCGAAACCTTTGTCTAAGACCTTTAAAGAAGAAAGTCTGGCCTTCAATGCACAGCAAAGAATGGAATGAAGTAGAGCCTGGAAGTGGAGAAATCAGTTAAGAGGCTGTGGCCCTGGTCCAGGTGAGAGAGAAAGATTGAATGAGGTGTGGGGGCAGTTGGCCTTCCCCAAGAGATGGGGCTTCTGGGGACAGGGTTGAGCCTGCTGCGTTATTGTATTCTCTCCAGCACCTAACTCAGTGGCCAGAGGCTAGTAGCTCTTCCATGCTGAAGACAGTTTTTCCCTTTATGAAAGATTGGTTACTTTAAACTTTTTTCTCCATTCTGTTTAGGGCTTAAAAGACAATCTTCTTGCTTCTGGGACATCCAGCCTGACAGCCACCAAACAGTTGCTTCGTCCAAGAATCACAAGAATCTGTCTCAGGGACTTGATATTCTGTATGGAACAGGAAAGAGAGATGAAGTATTCTCGAGCTCTGTACCTTGCCCTTCTGAAGTGACCACTCCAGTCTCCATCCAGATCCTTGCTGTTTACTGCCAAAGAAGACATAAAGAGCATTGTTGCACTCTCCTGAAATTTCAGTTTCTGGAAAATAATCACCAATAGGGAAGATCATTGTTTACAGTTATAAACTTTTATTAAATCTTACTTACACATCCCACGGGGTTCTTAATGACTAGAATTCAACTTTGTCTTCTGGAAATTGGTTATGAAATACAGTTCACACAGACATAGGCTTCTGCCTACCTGTGGATTTAATTACAGTAAGTTAAGGCCCTGTTTGTTACCACCTGCTTCATTTGCTGGACTGTAGGCGAGGTGTCTTTCCCTAACACAGCCTGCATTACGATGCAGGGGAAAGAAAGGAAGAGTCCCGACTTTCCAAGATTATATTTCATCCTCTGCTGAACTTGTCTCAAAGTGTTAGGTTTTCTAGGCTGGGATCAGAAGTTGCTTAGCTAATTGTGATAGTCACCTTCTGTAGTTGCAGGTGACAAGCCACAGCATCTGTAGTGACTTTGGTCAGCCGAGTCCCAGTGTTGTCAAAACGGAGACAGATGGGGATAGTTTGTGCCTGTCCCCACAAAGGTGGCTCCTCTCTGGGTCGTCACCATATGCTGCTTCTGATACCAAGTGAGGGTACATCCTTGTCAGGGAAACTTTAAAATGGAAGCTGCTGATATACCTCACTGAAAAGTGGAAAAGGTGGGAAGTATTGAAAAGAATGATGGGGCACTGCGTTCAAACTGAGGAGGGGAAAAGGAGAGTGGAACCTCAGAATAGGAACCATGCTGCACATGCGTCCTCCGTTCCAGTGGTGGGATTGGAACTCCAGAGCAACCGGTACACGTTTTGTTGACAGGACAAAATCACAGCCCAACCAAAAAAGGAAAATGTATCAAACATTTTCAAATGTACAGTATCTCAAAAGGAAGTCGTTATTTTTTGTTTTGTGTATTGTTTTAAATCTCAAGAAGGATAGTTTTCTAAAATCCTTTTCATTACCGCAAGTTTTAAGCATCTTGTTGCATTTAAAAAATCCTAATCGATGATTAGAAATTTTTAACAATAGGACTCCATTTTGGATTCTATACTCAAAAGGTAATGTCAGCATTTCATTGTTGGAGATCTTGGCTCTAAATGTATTATGAGGAGCAATATATATATATATATTTTTTTTTTTTTTGTTTTCCCCCCACCTGAGGAGGAAGCTGATGTTTTGTAAAGCAAACCCTCTTTTCTTTCTTTTAATTCCGCCTTTGTGGCATGTAGTTGGTGAAAAATAATAGCTGTATTTAGAATCCCATACAGAAAGAACAAGTAAATCCTCCAAGAAGATTTTTTAAAAATGGGAAAGCTGTGCTTCTTAGAAAAAGAATTCAGGGGGAAAAGAACACACCTCTGGTATGTTACTCCTTATCCTGTTCTTCCCATGAGGACTGTTGTGGCCATGTTCTATACTGTAATAAATGTTAAATTGGCCATTTTTGTTTCAGCAAGTTATGTAAAATGCTATAAATTATGTATATGTTAAAAGAGAAACTTTTCAGAAGAGATCTATACCTAAAGTTGTTTTTGTATATTTAAATGCTTAGCTTTATTTTTTTGTAAAGTGCAGCATATTCCCATATTTGTGTATAAATGTTTAAAATTATTTCAAATACTTCATTAAAATAATTATTTTATTATACGAATAATTTTGCTCAGTTACTGACTTTGAAAACCAGTATCTTTAGTAGTAAGCCTCCACACCTGGGGGCTGGGCAGTGGGTCTTACCTACTGGGCAATGGATCTTTCTTGGCTAGGATTGTTACTTTGGAGTATCAGCATTTCGGTTCCAGAACCTCACTTCAAATCCCAAGTTACTATTACCACTGTCTTTGGAATAGTTGTAAATTTGCATGCTATTTGACTCACAAAGAAAGCTAAACATATTCATTACAAAAGCTTTTCTTGGCCCATCAGTTTTCTTACTAAAAGTATTCTTTTTCAAACCTTATTTTTAATATACATTTTTAAAATTTGTGTCGTGAAGTATATCTTACAAAAGAACAAGTACAGTGTATCCAAAGTATTCTTCTGCTCAGTTTGCAAAATGGTGGCCTTGGGGTAGATTTGATCTATAAAGGCATTCTCTGTGACTCATACAGTGTTTCCCGTGTTTTAATTTACAAAAATCTATATTTCCACTTCCTTTGAAAAATCAGAAGATCTGGAATCATTAGGTACCTCCTTGTGTATGGTAATCCACTGGAGCCATCCAGTGCCTGTTCACTTTAGATGTGGGGGCATAAATTTACCTTCTCTTGTCTGAACCCTTCAAGTATTGACGTTTGTGACCCTCTGCCTTCAAGTAAATATTTATCTTGGGTGATGAACAGTAAAAGAGTAAAGTACTGGACATTCTCTTACCTGTTTTTTTTTTTTTTAAGCAACTTTATTGAGGCATATTTTATATATAAAATTCACCCATATTCCACCGATTTACTTTTAATATGACTGATCTTTTAATTTTTTTTTTTTAATGTTTATTTTTGAGAGAGGGAGAGACAAAGTACGAGTGGGGGAGGAACAGAGAGAGAGGGAGACACAGAATCTGAAGCAGTCTCCAGGCTCTGAGCTAGCCGCACAGAGCCTGGCACGGGGCTCGAACTCATGAGCCGTGAGATCACAACCTGAGCCAAAGTTGGATGCTTAACTGACAGAGCCACCCAGGCTCGCCAACTGATTGATCTAAATTGTTTCCTCCATGAGTATCTTTTTTTAAAAAAAATTTTTTTTTCAACGTTTATTTATTTTTGGGACAGAGAGAGACAGACCATGAACGGGGGAAGGGCAGAGAGAGAGGGAGACACAGAATCGGAAACAGGCTCCAGGCTCTGAGCCATCAGCCCAGAGCCTGACGCGGGGCTCGAACTCACGCACCGCGAGATCGTGACCTGGCTGAAGTCGGACGCTTAACCGACTGCGCCACCCAGGCGCCCCATCCTCCATGAGTATCTTTAAGACCTTCTCGTAAAAATAAGATCAACATTTAACATTCTTTTAAAGCCTATATTTCTTAAATCCTGCATTTGAGTTAAATTTTGTTTCATTAGAATTTTGGCAACACTTTATTTAGAATTAAGGCCATTTATACCAAGTATGTCATATGTCATAGTTGCAGCAAAGAATGCATGTAATATTAGGGCATATTCTTCAGAAAAATATGGAACCAAGATCTCAGATTAAGTTGGACTTTCTCTCTATCCCTAGTTGTATAATGAACTAACTTAAGTATTTATAAAAGTCTGAGCTTAGTAAGACTCCATGATTCTGCATGAAATAAAATATAGTATGTCATATGTTAATACATGACATGGTAGCTAGTTTTTGTTTGATTGTTGTTTGTGTTATTATCTTTTCAGGCACTTTTTGGGCTCCCTGAACTGAAATGGCTTTTTTTTTTCATGTAGGCATGATTTACATCTGATATCAGTACCTTTTTCTCTGACTTTTTAACCACTTCTGAGTATTTTCATGTGCATTTCAGTTGTGTTGCATTGGTGCATTTGCTTTTTTACTGAAGTTGGTTCACAGGTTGAAAATTGGTCCTCAGTAGAATGGTTTTGCCATATTTTTCTTTTGGAAAACGTTGAGAGACCGCTGTGCTGGCAGGCAACCTAGAGTGGGCCACCATATTCTTGAACGCTGGCTAGTGGGTGAGCAGAACAGGCACAAGAGTGATAGGGTTAGCATTTATGTCTACTTGGCACATTGAATATTTGTGGGAAGGAAATACTCCCTAGGAACTCATTTTAAGACTTTTGACTTTGTTGGTAAACCGTGAGAGCAATTTTAATGGCAACTCTTCTTTAATAATGCCAGTCCGAGGGGCGCCTGGGTGACTCAGTCGGTTGAGCGTTCTGACCTCGGCTCAGGTCATGATCTCACAGTTCGTGGGTTCGAGCACTGCATCAGGCTCTGTGCTGACCTCTTGCTCAGAGCCTGGAGCCTGCTTCAGATTCTGTGTCTTCTTCTCTCTCTGCCCCTCACCTACTCACACTTTGTCTCACTCTGTTTCTCAAAAATAAATAAATGTAAATAAAAAATTTAATAATGCCAGGTCGACACCTTACTAAGTTTTCTTATTGTAGGTGGTATTGACACAGTATTGCCCTGGCTGCGTCTCTAATCTTGCCTCTTACCAGTTGTGTGGCCTTGGACAAATTATTTAACTTCTCTGTGCCTTCGTCTCCTCATCTGGAAAATAAAAGGCTATGAGGAAAATGAAAACATTTACTTCTGTGCTGTATCTGTAGATGTTCTAGGTCATACTGTCGATCTAGCTTTGTGTCCTTTCCTACCACTGGAGATGCTGAAAGAAGAGAAACAACTTAGAATAAAATGTCACTTTTGAGGTTCATCCTTCAAAGTGACATTGAGGCTGTGTTTCTCATTTCCTCTTACTGCATTTGGATTTGTTTAAAACAATTTCAATTTGTCATCTTTAGGGGTGAAATGAAATACCCTTTTAATATCATTCCTTGCACCGGCCCTGTACACGATAAGGTAGGATGGAAGAAGAATTGCCATAATTCTACATAAGCTGCTTAGCACTTTCAAAGCTAGTATTGAAATGTTACCTGTGAGGTTTAGGCTGTGGGACTGATAACTTTTCCTGTTTATAATTGTAACTAACAGGCTTTGCCTGAAGATGAGTGGAAGGTTGGCTTCTTGATGAATCTATCTTAGGCCTCCACTTCCCTAAACAGAAGTATAAAGTCATTGTACTGAGTTGGCTTCACAGAACCTTTAAACTTGCAGATGGAGGGGCACCGGGGTGGCTCCATCGGTTAAGCATCCGACTTCAGCTCAGGTCATGAGTTTGAGCCCCGCGCTGGGCTCTGTGCTGACAGCTCAGAGCCTGGAGCCTGGTTCGGATTCTGTATCTCCCTCTCACTCTGCCCCTCCCCAACTTGCACTCTGTCTCTCTCAAAAATAAACATTAAATTTTTTTTTAAATAATAAACTTGCAAATGGCAATATAAATATCTCACTGGGTACTTCCCAGTAATGTTAATTCCCATAGAAATAGACAGTGGTTGCCTCTAACACAGAGAAGAGCAAGACAATTGAATAAATGGTACATTGTGTCATTTCCATGCCTTCTGCCATTATCAAAAAGCCTGTGGTGCTGGGCTAGACCCCAGTCAAGGAACAATTCAAGTGTTGTTATTGATGTGTATTAGTTTCCTAGGGCTACCATAACAAATTGCCACAAACTAGGTGGCTTCAAACAACAGAAACGTATTTTCTCACAGTTCTGGAGGCCAGAAGTCTGAAATCAAGGTGTTGGCAGGGCCACCCTCCCTCCATAGGCCCTAGGAGAGAACTTTCCTTGCCTTTCCAGCTTCTCATGGCTTTTGATGTTCCTTGGTTGTGGCAGCAAAACACCAGTGTCTGCTTCTGTCCTCGCATGGCCTCTGTGTCCTCCACATCCTTTTCTTATAAAGACACCTGGTCATTGACTTTAGGGCTCACTCCAATTCAGTATGATCTCATCTTGGCCTTTAACTAACATCTGCAAAGACCCTATTTCCAAACAGGGTGACATTGTGAGGTTCCAGGTGGACATGGACTTGGGAATGGGGGGGGGGGGGGAGGATGACACTATTCAGCCCACTGCAGGAGCATCCTTTATATATTCCTGATACTTTTATTTTTTGCCTCTTATTTCAAGAGCAGTGAAAAATTAATGGTTGCTAACATGGAAGGGGTTGACCTTATATCTCTTTACACTGGAAACTTATGATCTTGAGTTCTGTCAAGATGCCGATCCTGACCTTTCCTCCTTTTCTCTTCCCCTTTAGACAAAGCTTTTGGTGCTGTCCTAGTTTTACCATAGTGTGTTCAGGTGAATCTGTCTTGTATATTATTGGGGAAGGAAAGTAAGGAGCAAAGTCCAGAATTCCTGCGGGAGAGATGCGTCATCAAGGAGAGACTTTTGGAACTTGGAGAAATGCCAAGAATAGCTTTTTTTTTTTTTTTTTTTTTAATTTTTAACATTCATTTATTTTTGAGAGAGAGAGAGAGCATGGGCAGGGAGAAGCAGAGAGAGGGACAGAATCTGACGCAGGCTCCAGGCTCTGAGCTGTCAGCACAGAGCCTGACGTGGGGCTCCAACTCAGGAACCGTGAGATCATGACCTGAGTGGAAGACGCTCAACCACCTGAGCCACCCAGGCTCCCTGAGAAACGTCAGGAATAGCTGTATTGACTAATCACAGATTAAGCACTAGCCTCTGGAACTGGGAGTTGGTACCAACTTCTACACCTAGGGTCACTACGGGCAGCTCAAGTTTTTATCAGATTTCTTCTGTGATAGAATACTTAAAAGGTTCTAACTAATTTTAAAAGAATGTGTATTTTGCCTACCGTAGCTTTAAAAAGTCATCCTTTGTCTTTTTCATAAGGATATACTAAATAAGCAAACAGTTGGCAGTGGTTTGGGGAAAAGACCCTTGGAAGTCTGCATATATTCTAGAAAGAACAACACAGAAAAGTCTACTGAATGCAGTCTGTAAAGGTCAGAAAACAGCAGGCTTTGCCTGAAATATTAGCATAGGAACAATCATTTAGCAGATTCTCAAACTTGTCTTCATGACACAGTGTCTTCAGTTATCTCAAAGGCGGACTGAAATCTCAGGTTTCC